CAGCGAGCGGCGGATCTTTGGGAAGAAAATAGCTGAGGCAGACAGACTGCCATGCTTCGCAATGGGCGTCTGCCATCGGTTGCTTTGTGCCGGTCGTCCCGCACTGTTAGTCTCCAACAAGAGACTTTCGTCCGTGCTAGGGGTTATGGCTTTCGATCGTACTAAGGGTTCGTACTGAGGGTTATGGCTTTCGTCCGTACGAAGGGGTTTTAGCAGTACCCAGTAGAGGAAGCAGCGGCACGGCCGGTGTTTTCGTTGGTAGCTTTGTGTGGAAGTTTGGGCTATTTAGCTGATTGGACGAAAGGTGCAAGGTGCATCTCCGTTGTTTTTTCATCAGCTGTCCGCTCGTTCCCACCTCTAACCCTTCCCCCCCCCCTGCTTCACCTTGTCCGCTGTTGGTGTTGACAGGTTCGCAAGCCCGGAGTGGAGGGCACTCTTCAGGCAGACCTCGGCTTCCTCTACATTGCGTCAAGGTCGGAATGATGGGGGCTTCGTGTTTTTTCGGGACAACGGGGGGCGGGGGACGGTGCGGGAGGGGGCATGTTTCTGGTGCTTCTTTGCAGTTCCTGTCCAGCTCTCTTGCGTGTCCTGTCTACCATTGTTGAAAGCAACCTCTTTTTCTTTGTTTGTCCTCTGCGAGCTACCCCGCCTATGGTGTTGAAGACCATCAGCAACCAAGCCATGTTGCCTGCCTGCATGCGTTGCCTGCCAGCACTTTCGAGCGTTCATCTCCGGAAGATGGGGACTGTCTGAGATTTTTGTCCTTTCTCTCTTTCTCCCTCTCCCCCTTTGTCTTTCTGCTGCTGCTGCTGCTGCTGCTGCTGCTCCTCCCCCTCCTCCTGCCCCCCCTCCCGCCCTCTTCTCGGCGTGCCTCATGACGCTCATAAATGAACGCGAAAGGCTGCTGGAGATTTTGCAGCCGGAGCTAGGAAGGACTTCCTTCGCCGCGATCGCGAGCGACATCAGGTGACTTGAAAAAACGCCATTGTACGTACCAACACGCGGGGAGGGGTGTGTCCCGCGTCATGCTCTCTCTGTGTACACAGACGTATGTATCGCCGTAAACACGCGTTGGTTTCTGTCTTTTGTGTCTCTCTCGTGTTTTCTGTGTGTGTGTGTGTTTGGGGTTGGCATCGACCGCGGTAACCGGCTGACCAATGAAACCACGTCATTCTCACGGCGGCTGAAAAAAAAAAAACAGCGCTTCTACCGACCATGATCGAGACCGACCCCGTGAGAGAGCGTCATGGGAGAGGATAGGCTATATGATGCGGATGAAAAGATTCCTATCGGTCGACCTTGGGTCTAGTCGCGGGTGTGTGGGGTTTCCAGATTGTCGCGGGTGTTTCCGGTGGCTCTTATTATGGTGACTTGGGTTGTTTTGATCTTTTTGACAGGACGGCTATGCTGGATGAGCTCGATTTCCGCAAGGAAGCGAAGAACATCGAAGACTTCACCGGATTCCTGGATAGGGCGGGCATCTTGGATGCTGTCGCCCCGAAGGTGTGATTGATTTTTAGTTTTTCGTCTTGGGAAAATTGTCCCGCATGGTCGACCATCTCCACGGACCCTCTTTATGCCAAAACGAAAACCACTAGAAATGAAAATAACCGTCGTTGATTGAAAAGGCGATGCCATGCCCGCTCAAGGATGGTGACTAAATGAAAACCGAGGGGGTGCTGAACTTCGCCAATATAGCGTGAAGGGCGTGTAAGGACGAAGGTTTGTCCTCTCTGACAACTCAGGCATACTTGCGCCTCACATCATACCTACATCCACAAGAGTCGCGGGTGGAAAGCATTTAAACAAGCTGATTATTTTATCGGTATCAAGCAGAGTTCACCCGCCCTCTCAGTTCAAACAACAAACAACATGATTATTTATCTGTGCCAAAAGAGACTTGAACAACAATAACATCATCGACTGTGGTAAACAAAGGTCTACGAGGATCTCAGCTCGAAGCGGCTGCTGGTGATGGAGCGCCTGAAGGGCGTGGCTCTCACCGACCTCGAAGGCATCAAGGACTACAGCAGCAACCCGGAAGCCACCCTCATCACGGCCCTCAACACCTGGAGCATGAGCGTCATGATGGCTGAGAGCTTCCACGCGGTGCGTTCAATTGTGTTGGTGTTGATGTTGTTGTTGTTGATGTTGTTGTTGTTGTTGTTGTTGTTGTTGTTGTTGTTGTTGTTGTTCTTGGTGTTGGCGTTGTGTGGTCGGCATTCGCCAACTTCGCGAAGTCGTGGAGAGAGAGAAAGAGAGACAGGAGGGGGCACCTCCAAGCTGCGCGTATTGTCGCGACTCGAGTGGCTTCATGTCCCGGTACCAGCAAACTTGTAAGGGAGTAGCCCTTCGGTTTGTTGTCGTACAACAGCTGTTATCATCAAGTGCCTCCACGGTAACTAGCATCGGCCGCACTTACCGGCTGACCAATGAAAATGTGTGCGTTCTTTTTTCACATTTCCACCCCCTCACCACGTCAGTGCTCCCCCCCCCCCCCCCCCCCCCCTGCCCCACGTTAGAGAGATGACTCATGTCTGAATAGGGGGGTACTATGTGAGTCCTGTCCGCTTTGTTGATAAGC